TTTAAATAAAGAGCCTTTCCAAACCAAAGGGCGCTGTATATAGTGATGAAAAAAACTAATTAAAATACAATAAAGGGTAAAAGAAAAAAAAACAATAGCATACACTATAAACTACAGGGCAATCATACACAGTCCCTAGAAAAAAGGTCGGTTTTAATATATATTTTAATATTTGACCATAAAGAACGTTTACCGTTTGGTTATTAGCATGCAATTAATCTGGGATTCTCACCCAGTCCTGTCTTGGAAGAAGCCAGGGAATTGGCTTCAGCAACATGGCTGCTTAGCTTGCTCCACGCTCCCACCACTCTTCGCACAGAGACGAGCCTTCTGCTCTCGGTTTTAGCAGGACTTGTGTCCTCTGGTTTGAGTTGCACTGTTGATTCTGAGGAAGGTCGCTGGGTTGACTCTGTCAGAGCCTTTAAAGAGTTTGAATGCTTGAAGCAGGTCCCCCTGGTGACTTCTCTGTTCAACATATTTGTATATCTGTAAAATATTTGCGCTGTCGATGCGGCGCATTTCCTTACGTCTCAAAACGAGTTCAAAAGCAGCAACATCCTTTTTGATGTAAAATAATCTATATGTTTGTTTTCGTAACCCACTTCTGTAGACTCATATTAGCCTAGAACATACAGCGGTCGAAAGAGATTTTCTTTTCAACGGTGATCAGTTTCCAAAAACTGTCAAATGAGGTCAAATTGTTCTACCTCGTAGAAAGGAAGAGCGATCATATAATCAATCACGCCAACGGCTACACGGCGATTCTGTAGTCCGGAAAAACAGGTCAACATCGCCGCCTAGTGGACTACCTGTGGAAACGTCTGTAGGATTTAGTCATGTCGTTTGCCAACCCGCTTTATACCAAACGGTGTCGCGGGAAGCCGGAGCCTACCCGGCAAGCAACGAGCGCAAGGCAGGGTACGCCCTGGACAGAAAGGCAGTCCATCGCAGTCCATCGCAGGGCAAGTGCAAGCCAATCGTACATGGGGAAAATTTGGAGGCCACGGTAAGGGCCGAGGGGGGAAATTTGACCCGGACACCAGGACAACATCAATTACTCACCTTCTTGTATCAGTCTAGGCCGTGAGACTCGCACTGTCTTCTGCCAGGTTCTTAAAACATGATTTTCAAACAAAAATGCAATTGTGATTTTCTAAGCCTGATTCATAAGTAACTAAGTTTATATGCATATTTTAAATATTCTAAAATTGAAACGCCATGCATTTTATACACGTATGCATATTTTAAATAGGACACATCTTAAACAGCTCAAATTAGCACCTGCACACATTAGCACCTTCACTTTAAGGCACTGCACTGTTTGCACTATGTCCTGTCTTGGCTGTATTATAATGTCTATTGTCAAAATTTATTGTCCATGTCTGTTTGTCATTTGTGCGGATATTTTTTTTCTCTCTATTGTTACTGGGTGCAGCTGAACGAGTAAGCATTCCACTACACTTGTTGTATAGGGCAAATGAAATTCGAATCTTGAGCCTTATTTAAAAACGAAGGATTTGGAGATGGATGGCACAGTGGAGAGCCTTTCGCCTGTGTCTGCCCAACAGAAAACCCAGAACCGCAGGAGAGCAGACTCCTGCAATGTCATTTGCAAGAGGTTTCCCGACGGCCGGTGCTCACCCGACATTCTTCAAAACTGCATCCAAGTAAAAAGATCCCCTCTCTGATTTTGCACTTCCGAGGAAGCACGTTCATCCATCTATCAATCTTCCGCTTTCCTCACGGCAGAGACGGAGCTCATCCCGGCAAGCAACAGGCACGAGGTGGGATACACCCTGGATGGGACACCAGTCCATCACAGGGCACACAGACACATTCACACACTCACAGCCGGGTCAGTTTTCACAGACGCTAATGAACCCACCAGCCTGTACTCGGACTGTGGGAGGAAACCAGACCAGACAGACAGCACCCCCGGTCCAAAGCCGAACTCAGGGCCGCTGCGCGCTGCGCAGTAAGGCAGTATTGCTACCCACGGTGCCACCATGCCATCCACATTCACACTCATGATATTTTTGAAAGCAGTGCAGGCTGGCAGCTTGGAACCTGAAGACTCTGCTCCAGTAATGGCCTATTCAGCTTCCCCTGCCTGACAGCACCGGGGCTTGAGCTTTCCCGTCTGAAGCCAAGACTCTGAGAACTTGCTTGGCAAGGCGGAGGTGTGATAACATCCAGGCAGCAACAGCAAGGATGAGGCTATTTATGCTGCTGCTGCACTTTGAGCAGAGGAGAAAGCAATAGCCGATTCTTTAGATTCACCTATTACAGGGAATGACAGAGTAACTACCCTTTTATTGAAAACAATGTGCAGTTTTCCAGGTGTGGCACCTATGGCTGAGCAGGTCACTGGCTCAGAACAGGAGTATTAGTCTTTGGATGGAGGCGTGGCTGGATAAATGGGTGTGGCCAACAAGAGTTGTGTGGGTGTGATGTTCAGGGCTGCTGAAACACTGAAGATGGAAGGCTACCCTGTGAGTAGCTGGTGTAGGGCACAGTGAAGCCATGACGCTCTGGCTGATCCCTGGAGCTGGATTGCAGCCATCAGTGCCCTGGGTGTCACCCCTTGAAGAACACAGCGTGGCCGGGCGAGCTCTAGGGTAACCACACAAGGTTACCCAAGTCATGCAACAGGAAGTGCAGACTGACCAAACAAGCAGGACATTAACTTTAGCTTCAAGTCACTAGGGAGCCATTTGATTTTGCAGAGGTGAAACCAAAGAAAAGCTGGCGAGCAACTTGGGGAGATATTCTCTTCAAAATTTGTTAAAATATTTTCAAACATTACTGAAGTCTGTATCCATGATACTAACCTTGTTTTGCAGATTGGTTATGAACTACCAAGGTCAACCGTGTACATAGTGCTCTCAACAAAACATACTGTATAATGCAGTTTCCTGCTCTGTTTCCATGTTTAATTGTTTGCTCATTATAAAATAGTACAATGATGGTCATTTTAATACAGTAAGTTGCACTTCCTAACCTCAAATACGTAGCTAAAGCTTTAAGAAAACACAATCGTTCTCATTTTAAGAATAAAACGGCAAGACTTATTTTAATATTACATCTCTCCCTAAACTCTTACTCATCACACAAATGCTCAGAGACTACCGTTATTCAAACGTGAAATATACACCCACCCCAGACAGAATGAGAGATAGCAAACTGCAGGTGTTGATATCCTAAAACTACATGATCTATTAGAGTGCTACCAGCTGTACACTTCCTTATGTGGACAGTCACGTGCTTACACAGAATGAAAACAGCAGGAAAGTTACTTTCAGCAGCACAAACGCGGCCCTAAAAGATGATTGTTTCAGCTCTCCTGCACTGTTGTAGGGGCTGAATGACCGCACACCGTAGAAAAGAAGGCGTTGTATCTCGGCAACGAAAGCAGCACACATGCTCCTTTCAGCAGCACAAATTAACTTATGCGGCGGTTTTTATTGTGGCGTCGTCGGGGGGGCCACCTCATGGAGCTGCAGGGGGCTGGTTTGGATTCGACCAAGAGGCAGTTCAAGCCTCCTGCGCTCTGCTGTGGGACTCCTCCCAGCTCCCCAACAAGTTTGCGATCATCCTTGAGCTCCGTCCTTCAGAGGAGACGGCAGGCAGCTGTTTTTCACTCCACCTTTGTCTCTCGAAGGCATCTGTGGCTAAAAAGTGGCTGCAAACTGGATTTTGGGAAACAAATTTCATGTTTCTAGAGATGGTTTCTATATTCCACCTTTTTAACTTGTAAGAAAGGAGAAAACCTACTTCCGGGCACTTTAGAGCAATGGAAAACACTTTATTGCCAATAAATACCAGCACTCTAGAATACCAGTTATAGAAAAATAACCCTGAAACCAGAAAAAATCAGGGCAAAAAAAGAATGGTTCCACCTCAAGTTCATAACTTTATTAAACTCCCTGGTAAAAATTGTACAAATGCCATTCAGTAATCGAACAGCAAGATCTCGATCCATCGCAGCCTGTCGCCTCCTCTCGCTCTCTCTCGGGACTCTTACATCGTCAGCTCCTGGGGGGAAAGACCAGAATAACAGCGACGTTAGCGAACAAAACCCTGGGCTCCGGGCGGGCAGCTGTCAGAGCTGCTTCTCAGCGCAGGAGGCCTGGCTTCAGCAGGACTTGGAAGAACAAAGGTCTGGCCATCGCTAGCATCCCAGAAGCCAAGGGAGACTGCAGGACAGCTAGGTTTGCATAGGATTTACATTAAAACGCGACATTTAAATAATTTCAAGAACCGGTTTTTATGCAAATTCCAGCACATCTTAAACAGAGACGTTGTTGTTGGAGCCAATACCCAAGCAGGACAAACAGCCTCCTCTGTTTGGTTTTATGTTTATTTCTTCTCTAGCACACCAAACCTGCTGGTGCTTCTCTTAGCTTGTGGTGAAACCGGCTACCTGTGGACATCAGAGCTGCTGATTCCCAAATCTCATCTAATCATTTCTGCCCTCAACACCCACAATGCCCTCCCCCATCACAGCTACTTGTCATCTGCTACAGAAGCACGATTCTTCTGCTTGGTTCTACTGTCTGTTCAAGGCCAAATTCATGACTTTCAATTTGTCTTGCCCATTCTGTCCCCCTGCTCATTTCACGAGGTCACGCTGGATCAGACACCCCAACGCCATCTGTGACGCCGTTACAGACAGCCACACAATTGCCAAGTTCCAATGACCTCGTTTCTCACGGTACAACACTAGATTATCAGACACCTAGAATAAAGTTATCTGCTAAATTATAAAGTGCACGCGCAGTTTTAAAACAGACTTTCCAACCTGTTAGGCCCTTACAGGAAGGCAGCCGATTAAGGTAAGCGAGCACTTTTTGTTTTGCCTTCCATGGATGTTCCATGCATTAACCTCCGGCTTGTGAAACTGAAAAGCAACGAGCCGCTGACCAGACGGAGGGCATGCTCACCATGATGGCATTGACGATGTCGTTGTTGTTGTTCTTCAGCGCGCGCACGGCCTTCGCTCGCGACACGTTGGCCTGTGACATCACCAGTTCGATGTCCTTCACCTCCACGCCGGTCTCGTCCACCTGTGACACAACACCAGGATGGAGAGAGGTGGGTCAGGCCGCAGGTTCTGGCACAGTTGCAGTGGGGGATAACTTATGTTTCGCCCTTTGTGGGAGAATTTCTGCAGTACCCCAATGACATAAGTTACCCAAACTGCGGCCACATATCCAGCTGTATAAATGGGTAACAGTTTATACACCATCTAATGTTAAACTCTGTACATTAATACACTAAAAAAGGGATAAAAATAATCAACCACTACTGCAAAGACAGGCGGTGGCCACTAAAATATAATGGATTTTACAAGCCTTCAAGAAACTCCTAACTACTCCCACTAAAACCAGGAGGAAAAAGAGAAAGAATTTAGGTTTCTTGATGCGTTTCGTTTTGCAGGTCAATTTCCGGGCGAGCTTTCTAGGCGTCCAACTCATACCTCTTCCTCCTCGCTCTCTTCCTGTACAGTTGGCGTCTGTGTGTTTTCCTGGATGTTAGACACGGCTTCTCCCTGGACCTTGAACTTCTCAGCAGCTGCCAGCTGAGCCTGCTGGGACAGATCTTCAATCTGGAGAAAAAAAAAAAAGGACATCTCAAGGCTTGTTTTTTAATTAATAATCTACATTAAAAGCTGCTGGTTCAGGTCCAGCATGGGACAGGAGGAAGGGCTTAGTTTCTGGGGGTGAACGTTAGTTCTGTAGCTGCATCCCAACGACTGTCTCAAGCCACAGAGAGCCGAAACAGTGCTGAGAAGCAAAACATCCGTGATGTGAAACTTGGTGGCTCAGCCTCAAAACCCAGAACCAGTGAAGGGCCTTGTGCAAGAACTAGAGCTCTAAACCCTACTATTGGGCCTAGGTTTTGAGCCGAGATGGAAACTTCATGTCTTCAATGCTACATGTTTCACAGGCCACACGATAGCACTTGGTACCAATGACTGCCCACACTCGGGGCAAATAATTTCAGCAAATCTGTGTTCAATTAGGGGATCTGCTTAACGAAAAGGCTATAAGGTATGAAGACTTTTGTTCCCAGTAATCTCTAAATTTCTCAAGTTAGTTCAGCAGTGCAAGATTAACTGGTTTAGTATAAAACCTCAGCAAGACTCGGATGAGTTCAGGAGACCCAGGACACTGGGAGCCCGTGGAGGGATGCTAGTTTTTCGGATGACCCTCAGTTACTCGACCAACTTTGGGGGGTGAATTACACCCCATTACCCAGGGACCAGCTGAAAGAAGAGTGCCTGGCCGCGCGGACGATTGCTTGAAAACTGCCCGTAGGCGGCTCTAAACCAGCGGCCGGCCTCCCCCAATGCCCCTGCAAGTCGCCAGATCCCGGCCCGACGCACCTTGGCCTCCCCGAACACGATGTAGGTGTCTGACGCGGGGCTCTTGTAGACGTCTGGCTTGGTGATGACGAACAGGATGTTCTTGGACTTCCTGATGGTGACTCTGGTGACCCCCGTGACCTGGCGAAGCCCCAGCTTGGACATGGCCTGCGGGAGAGGGAGGAGCTCTACTCGTTACCTTTGAGTTCAACGAATCTAACTTCTAAGCTCTGAAAGACTAATTTTGACATTTTTAAAAAACACTTGGGAGAAATCAGGATAACAAAACTCAGGCCTGACCAATACACCTCGAACAGACCTTTGTTATCTCTGTAATGCCACTGCACAAGAGGTGGAGAACTGTACACATCATCTACACTGACCAGTTGAAATGTTAGACCCTTACCCAACATCCACTCGCACTACACAAGAAAAAGGTTAAGGATGGACCAGGACCTCTACCAATAGACTCCAAGACACAGGTCAAGCTAACATTTGTCTGTGTCCTGCAATGGCTAGCCTCTTCCACCCACTGTCTCCCCTGTTCTTGCATGGCTGTGCTGGGAGCCATACTAGACGCCACAATCCAACCACACAGGCTTCTTGATCCAGAAAAGCCCTTGACAGCACTACGCAGTTTGCATGTATTAATTTGCCCAGTGTGACGGAAAGTAGGTTTAGACAAGATGGCAGCTCTTATCTGAACTGAAGCTATCTAACAAAGCTGTGTGTGTGTGGGGGGAGGGGACCTCATTGACTCCTGACCAATCATAGGATGACAATTTAAAAACCAGGAAGCAGAGGCTTACAGAGCTCCACATGCCAACACCGAACAGGGTGCTGGGAAAAGGTGCCAAGTGAGTGAAGGTCAGTGGACTGATATTTGGACTACAATCCACAAAAGGTAAAGTCTTGATGATGGTGCGGACAAGCAGCTGCCTGGTTCGGCTTATGGCCAAAGACGTTGGAGCTCTCCTTTACTTTACCCCTCCCAGTAAATGTGCCGTTGCACAGTGTTTTAGAGCATCTGTCGAGCGCTTGTGGTGGCCAGCGGCCTGAGTTGTCAAAACACACACCCCTCACAGATCCATGCATCTGCATGTGCCTACAGGTATCTGCAGTGGGGGATTGCATTTCCTGTTTTCTCTCCATTATTTATGTTGGGGGAGGGTAAGAAATTTGGCTCCCAACAGAACTGAGGGAAAAAGGACTCCCCCTATGCCCTCGCTGTCTCAAAGCCCATTTTCACCCCCAAGTTGCTCAGATTGTAACCTGACTGTCCACACACAGATCAGGCGTCAAGTCACACGATTCTCGGCAAGGAAGGAATCTAATGGCGATAACTGCAGACCAGAAACATCAACAGTAGCGATCACACCAGCCCTTAACCACCCTGACTTTTAAAGGACACCACACCTTGGTGTGGTGAGAACCTGCCCTGCGTGGGCAGCAGCAGGACCCCTGACCGCCGGGCCGCGCAGCGAGGCTCCCGGGTTCTGTGTACTCACCTTCCGTGCCTTCTTCTCACTCCTGCTCTGTTTAGCTTTGCTGACGGGCTCTTCGTCAATTTCGGCTGCGGCCGCGAGCTGTGGAGACACGAGGATAAGGTCAGAGCCAGGTTGGGCCTTTGCTCCCCCGCCACCACGGAGCCGGGCTCTTTACAGACAGCGCAGGGATGATCTGAGCCCTGAATTTCACACAGACACCTATATGTGCATTTTCCTTTCCCGTCCAGCTCAGGAGAAGTCCAGTGATGCATGCATGTACACACACACAAACATTTCCAGGAGCAAAAACTCCTTTCTAAAAGGAAGAGATTAGAAGCTCAGTCTGGAGAAAAAAAAACACTACACAACCAGCAGACGGGAAGAGGAACTGAAAGCCATTTCTGCAAGACTTCTACCCCCCACAAAGACACTGAACTCGGGCATGAAATGGCTCATCTGTATAGTCTGCTAGCACTAACCACGAAGGTTCATGCCCACTGGCAACCCCGGTGGCCATACCTGTGCCTGCTGCGACTGTGCCTGTGCCGAGTCCTGCTCCTCCAGCTCAGGTACTGATTCGTCGCTGTCGGACTCTGTGCCTGACCCTGCCAACAGCAGACAGAATGGGCTTTAAGCAAGCGTCAACTGTACCGGTGCTGCCCTAGAGGAGCCCGTTTTCCTCCAGAGCGATCCTTGAACCACACTCGGGAGAGCTGGAAGTCCGAAGGGTCTGTTTAACTAAGAACAGGCTGGAGCGATTTCTGAAGAGCTCCGCTGCAATGAAACCAAAACGACTCCCACAATTCTCTGGGGCCAGAAGTGAAGACGTTAAGCATGCACCAACCACAATCTCTTTTTAAAATCCTATTTTATGACGGTATTAGCAATGTCATGTGCACCACCATGCAGAACTGTACCACAAGAGAAGATGGGATTTCCTTATGATCCGTCTCCAAACGATCAATGCCATGCAGGTTTGTGTCCAAAGCCCACAACCCACAGAAGCAAGTCTTCAGTACAATGAGCAAGACTCCCGACGACTGACCCACAGAACACATCACACCAAGGCCACCGAGCTGCTCTTGGTCTGCTCCAACTGGCTATTCAAGGAACCAACTGAGCAATTAAGGAGCCGTCTTTGCTCAAGGAAGATGGTGGGAGTAGGTTTCAGTCCAGCACAGCTAGAGCAGTGCTTTTCAAGGACCTTAATTAATGGAACTGTTTGTGGTACCTAGGTCCAGGAAGATTAAAAGCTTGCCCTTATATCAGCTTCAATGTCATTCACACTCTCAGAACTTAAGACTGTGATTAATGAAGTTTGGAAAAAGAAATCTGAACATTCACCAGTCATCATAGCCTAGAAAGTCCTCACTGGGACCTGGTTCTGTTTTAAATAATGAGTAAGTGTTCCCAATTTTCAGTTCTCAGAAACAGCTGGGCACTAAGGAAGGATAACCTGGCCACTCCTGATCTTCATGTCACAGTGACACAAGTTAAGCACAATACATTCATGCCGCATGCCCTGAAGAACACACCCAGCTCTCAACTGGCAGGGTTAGGATGTGGGTCAGTGGGTTAAGACAATCCGAGAGCCACACACTTCAAGCACACAGTTACAGACCGAACCAGCTGGATGTGGGGCAAATCAATTGCCCCCACACGACGTCTGGCATGATTCTCAAAACAATCTGATTTAAAGCAAGGTTCATGGCCTGAGATGGTAACACCAAGTTAAGAAATGTTAGCTTTCGAACGGTCTTGTAAAAGCCCCCAGGCCAGCCTGTCTCATAGCCAAACAGGTCTGGCTGTCGCTCAGCCCTGGGCTAACTTCCTCTTGCTGACCAGGGGCTTCAGGCTGCACGTCAGCTGAACAGGGAAAGAGACACCAAACCCTAAGAGCAGGAAAGGGCATTTAAACAAAAGGAGCTGCTTCAAAGTCCTCCGCCAGGTCTGGACTGGCTGGTTAGTAGGGCTCTGTCACATGCACACAGAGGGTGGAGGGCCGGACAGAGAATCCACATGCCGTGCAGCACCCAGAACACGCCAGGCTGCAGAGCGATACCCTTGTCGTTCTTGACCACAGGATCCGGCTGGGCAGGGGCCTTGGGCGGCGCCGGCTTGGGGGTAGACCCGGATGGCAGAGGGGGGCTGGGTTTCACTGGGGGGAAGGAATCCGCAAGGGTTGGGGGCTGGAAACGGGGAATTTCCACGGGCTCCTCGGGGGGGATGAGGGGGGGCAGCTCGTCGTCGTCCTCCGGGGCTGCAGGGGCGATGGCAAGAGTGGGGGGCTTGGGAGCCGCAGGGGGGGCTTTGTCTGCGGCAGACGGAGATGAAGAGGGCTTAGCAGACGGGACGGCGCTCGGGGAGGGACGTGCCTTAGGGGCGGGGATGGCTTTGGAGGGAGATGGCGAAGCAGGAGGGGCTAGAGCTGGGGTGGCAGGAGGTGGCGGAGCAAGAGAGGTTTGAGCAGAAGGAGCAGGAGACACTGGCGTAGGAGGGGTTGGGGCTGGGGCAGGGGCGGCTGTGGCAGGACGTGGCGAAGCAGGAGGGGCTAGAGCAGCAGGTGGTGGCGGAGCAGGAGAGGTTTGAGCAGAAGGAGCAGGAGGGGCTGGGGCAGGGGCAGGGGCAGCTGTGGCAGGACGTGGCAAAGCGGGAAGGGCTGGGGCAGCAGGTGGTGGCGGAGCAGCAGAGGTTTGAGCAGAGGGAGCAGGAGACACTGGCGTAGGAGGGGTTGGGGCTGGGGCAGGGGCAGCTGTGGCAGGACGTGGCGAAGCAGGAGGGGCTGGGGTGGCAGGAGGTGGGGGAGCAGGAGAGGTTTGAGCAGAAGGAGCGGGAGACGCTGGCGTAGGAGGGGTTGGGGCAGGGGCACCCTTTTTCTGGCCAGGCGTTGGCTTCTCCTTGGGCTGGGCAGCCTTGGGCTCCTTGGCGGCAGCTGGCTTGGCAGAGGTCTTACCCTTGGCAGCAGGCTTGACCTCCGCAGGGGCCGGAGCTGCTGGAGCTGCCGCGACAGGCACCGAGGCCAGCTCCGTGGCAGAGGAGGATTTGGGGGCCTCTGGGGGAGCAGGAGCAGTTTTGGGCAGGCCAGAGGCCACAGCCGCAGCAAAAGAAATGGGGGCAGGAGCAGCAGGCTTGGGAGTCACCTGAAAGGCCAGGGGAGAGGCAGCGGCAGGCTTGGGCGACACCGGGGCCTCCAGCTTTGGTGGGGCAGCTGGCTCAGGCTTGGCGGGAGCCTGGGATTCCAGTTTAGGAGAAACAGGCCCACCAGGGGCACTAGGTTTCTGTGGGGCATCTGATTTCACTGCCACACTTTTAGCTGGGGCATCTGCTTTCACTGGGGAACCTTTACCGGGGGCATCTGCCTTTCCTTGGCAAGGGGCGGGGGCCTCTGGTGTAGCCGGGGCCTTCTGAGGAGAAGGCAGTCCGGGGGCCTCTGCAGCAGGGACAGTAGGGGGGAGCACTGTCTCCTGCGGCTCAGAGACAGGGGCCACTTTCTCCTGGGGCCCCTTCCCAGGGGTCTTTGTGCCATCACTGCCAGTACCCTTCTTGCCCTTGCCCTGCTTGCCCGCCCTGACCACCTTGGGCTGCGGGCCGGCCTTCTCCCCCTGGGCCGGCGGGGTGGGGATGAACGCCGTGGGGGGGCTGGCGAGAGGTGAGCAGGGCGGGGTGGAGCGGGGCAGGGAGGAAGAGGACGACCTGGGGGAGGAAGGGGAGGACTTGGGGGAGGACGTGGGAGCTGGAGAGACGGGCTTGCCGGTGACGGGCACGGGTTTGGAAGGAGAGGGGGAGGAGGACAGCTTGGTCCCGGCGGATTTGGCCTCCTTGGCTTTGGGAGCAGCAGGAGCGCTAGCAGGCTTGGAGCGCGGAGGACCCTGAGGAAGTTTCTTGGAAGCAGGAGAGGAGGCAGAGGCGGAGGGAGCAGAGGCTGGAGGAAACAGAGGGGTTTCAGTCGAACATATCAATCACAATTAAAAAAACTCTTTAGATGGGGAAGAAGAAAAAAAGACGGTGAGAATTGCCAGGAACACCCATGCCGGTAAAGAGATGAGAACAGGGAAGACGAGAAAGAACGGACACCTAGTTCTTCTTGAGACCCCAGCGCACATTTAACAGGTTGGGATTTTGCAACAACTTCTATAAGCTGGCAGGCAGTTGACCCGCCTCCACCTGCAGCAGCACGCCAGAAGGGACCACCCACAGCGCGCGCGCTCCCAACCTGCAGAACAGTCGGGACAACCTGATCATGCAATAACAACCTGAAGTGCACATCTCCCCAGCATATTACAAAAGCTCAACTACAATGCTACTTCACTTTTAGACCACACGCAGTGTCAGCAAAGTAGAGAGCCCCGCTATTTTCCTCCGACATCCCCATAATGGAATTTCAAAGGGCAGAGCACTATATTGAATGTGATCTGGTCAGAATTTTCCCCGCATAGTGTGGCGCTGCAAACAGAAAAAGTGTGTGATGGGCTAGAACAGTCCTATTCATCCAGGAAATTAAAATAAGACTCCCACTGTGTAGCAGTGCAAGCTGTCCAAGACACTACAGCTTTTAAAACCTCTAAAAGGGACAACAGTGCTGTGCAATACAAGCTGCATCTGTCCTATATGTGCATCTTCCACTGCCTGTCCAATGACCACACCCCCCCAGTAGGGGGCAGTGTGTGTGCATGCGTGTGGGGGGTTGGGCTAGAGGAGCAGGAGAAGGACTCCCATCACCTTTCCTGACCAGAATAATCCCCTGATCTCACTCCTGCTGGAACTCCAGTGGACCTGTCCAGTTCCGTCCCCACACACCACCTCCTCAACCCCAGCTGAAGTCCATCCTGCTGCAGAAATGGGATGAGATTGGGCTGCGGATAATTCAGATCCCAGAGGAATCCGTCAGGCCACAGCCTGTCCCAGCTGTTCCCGCTGCTCACAGAGGCCAAAACCCATCAGGGGATGGGAGAGTCGCCAATTTTCTCAGTGACTCAAAACTATAGCAACAACACTGTTCTCTGGTGGAGTACATTCTCAGTGGTGCCTCCCGATGTTGAGATACAGAGCAGAGCTAACCTGAAGCCAATTCCTCATTTCGAATATGGTCCTTGTGGCTATAAAACCACCATGACTTAAAATTCGGGTCAGAACCACTCAGACAAGAGGTCACAGCACCTTCGGCATCCCGATTTCTGAAGTTTCTCGATAAATACGTGCAGCAACGCCAGTGGTCTGTGCTCGCTAGAATGATACTTTAGAAACAGAGAGGCTCTTATGTTTTGCTGATCTCTAGGCAGGGAGATGATGACGCTGCAGGGCTTCAGTTCTAAGAGCCCGGCGCGGGCTGTGAACCTACAAGGCAGCAGCGAAGTCCCTTTCAGCCGCACTAGGCCACAGCACCTTCGGCATCCCGATTTCTGAAGTTTCTCGATAAATACGTGCAGCAACGCCAGTGGTCTGTGCTCGCTAGAATGATACTTTAGAAACAGAGAGGCTCTTATGTTTTGCTGATCTCTAGGCAGGGAGATGATGACGCTGCAGGGCTTCAGTTCTAAGAGCCCGGCGCGGGCTGTGAACCTACAACGCAGCAGCGAAGTCCCTTTCAGCCGCACTAGGCTGGAGTGTGGTTAATACAGCACTGCACACCAGAGGGAGTTAGGGTGTTAGGATTGGGGTTGGGGGGGGTGTCTGCAGAAACTACCTGACTTCTTCTCCACAGCGTCGCGGGCAGGAGGGGCTGCAGGAGCTGGATAATTCAGAGCAGTGATAAAGTTACACACCATAGACCGGCCCCCCCCCCCCATCCCCAAATTTGGGAACCACAGCAAGACACCAGTTCACTTCAAAGCATAGCTCTTACGTCAAATCCAAAAACTACCAACACACGGGTACATGCCACAGAGGAAACCACACGTGAAGGAACACTGAACTAACGGAGCACTCTGAGCAGGAAGCAGCCTGCAGGCCAGACGAGGCTGACCGGAGCAGGACGTGAGGCGATGTGCGCACACATGCACGCTTTCGCAGAGGATTAATGGAAGCGGGTGGCGCTGGCCTTCTGAGGTGTGAAAACACCTTAAGCGTCGCTCACAAAACTAACAAAGCACTGGCATCTACAAAGCGTTAAGAGTGCTCCCAGAGGGAGAAGGCAGCTACGGCACATGGAGAGTTGCAGAGGCAGGGAACTTCCGACGCAGCTAAGCAAGCCTCTACTTATCCATCTGGGTGTTAGATCGCTGATGATGGCAGGGCTGGAGGTAAGACAGTCTCCTGTATGCTTGTCCTTAGGCAGAGAAGTCCATTTCAGGCTTGGCACTCCCCAGGGCACTCTCCCTCTAATCAGGATTTCCTTGACTGGCTCAACTAGACCAAGGGAGCATCTCTCCTCGGAGCTCCTCTGATGGAGATCAGATGGAAGGCAGCCTGCGCACTGGTCAGAGCTACTCTCTCACTGGCCCTTAGTACCCAGAGGGCGCGTGTTGGAGGGGCGGGCTCCACCAGCTGCAGTCCAGCGCGCCACGAGCCAGGAACCAGTACCCAGACACGTGCACACTCATGCAGATCCCCTCATTTCATCACCATCAGCTTGACGGCTCAACACTCCCAAGCGCGGTCTGAGATGAGCGAGGGCTGACCAGCTGGAGGGTTTGCAGGTCATAAGCACAAGTGAGGCCCTTGAGCTAATTAAAAGGAGATGGCTACCCCTACATAAAACGGCAATGCCTGTCCTTTACACAACAGTGCTGGTTGTGCGGCGTTCATGGGACAGCTAGCAAGTTGAAATTCCAGCTCCTGAAGGGGAAACAGCTCAGAAAAGCCATGCTGGTCAGTCCCTGAGTGGGTGGATCACAGGCCAGCTCCCAGGTGGTATCTAGCTCAAAAGTTCAAAGGTCTCGGTGCTGCCAGAACCAAGCAGTCGCCAACGAGCTTGAGTCAAATTTAGTGCAGTTAAAAGACCCTCTAAATAGTTAGATACTGGAAACGGCAACAGTTCAAATTAAACCCATAAAAAAGAGATTTCACTCTCTTCCCAAAACAGGGCGTCCCATGGAGAGCACAGCGAGCCTGATCCCACATGCGCCCCCCTGTGACAGCTCATCCCAATGCATCCCGCCCAGAATCCCCCGATCGCAGGCCGCTACCGAGCTGCAGGACCCCCCAGGGCCGGCAGTGAAGAACAGGCACTTCAGCACAGCTGACCTGGCCTGTCCGCCGGGCGGAAAACCCGTTAAGCCCAACAAAAGCGGGGAGCCGGAACCTGATCCGCCAGCGACAAAGCAGCAGCAGCAGCAGCAGCCACTGGCGGAAGAAAAAGGGGGGCGGGGGGGGGGGGGGGGCAACATTTTTTCATGCGTAAAAAGGGCTGACGACGCTCGTCATGAAACAAATGGCTTTGAAATCCCAGAAGTCTCCAGCGCTTAAGCAGGTGAACACTAAGGGGACAGCGTGCGGACGGCACGCACCACGTGCCCATTAGCAATCTCGTGCACAGCTTCAGCAGGGGCGCCAGCGGCAGCCCGCTGCTGCTCACCAGCCGTGTTCCCGATGGCCTTCAGCAAAAGCAGTTTCAATAGAAATGCAGATTTTTCTTAAAAAAAACCCAACAGGGTGTATTAAAAGTGTTAAAGAGCATCTGCCCGCTTAGCGAAGGGATGCCGACACAAACGGAAGAAGAAAACTAAAAAGCTGGAACAGATTAAACGTTTCCCAGGTCTTCAAATCAAATGTTGGCACGATTCTTTCTGCTGCACCTAGAGGGACCGGGAGCCTTGGTGCTGAGTGCTTGGCCTGGTCACAATTTTAGTACTAGTAGGAAAGGGGGGCCTGACTGCACACTAAGGCTCTGCACTGAAGCATGAAGGCAGCTCCCTGTTCATTTCAACACATGGGAAAGAATGAAGCTGGGAGCAAGACATCTCAAGAGACCACTGCAGGCTGTGTCTTAATGAGTACAACCCCTGATATCACTTCATTGGCCGGCCACACCTCTCCAGGAATGCCATCACGCAGTAATTAATAACAGAGCGACACACCTACGAAAACTATGTTAAAGCCAACTAATGGGATTATCCAGCTCGGAACAGCTCTCTTTTCAGAGACCCTTCCCACTTTCCGTGTTCCGCTCTGGGAAAGTGAGTCACATGGTCCAAATTTCAGATTTTTATGGCGATCGCGCCAGAAAAATAAGGCACTTTGTTTGCCACCATCTGAGAGCGCACAGCACGCGTCTTCTGCATGTGCTCTATTTCTTAAGTGGGCATCGACGTACGACAAAACTGAATTAGCCACGCATGCCAAAGCAATCCTGAGATCGCAGGTTAAAGGCACCATGAAAGATGAGGCTGGTTTTCGCACAGAGACAAGCGGGTTTCACCGACTTCTTTTGGACCGCGAAATACCAGAGATCCCGCCGCTGCTTACATAGAAAGATCAGTCCTGCATTGCTCGGGTCTCCGAGACAGTCGGTAGCGACTGGGCCCCAAACTCTCATGGCCAAAACAAGCCTGTTTATCCGCCCCCTCTAGAAAATCACTCCACATCCCAGCTAAAAGGATCCGCAGGCTTGTTTTGGCAACGAGAGCCCAGCCACACAACTGGGGAAGGGCAGGGACTCAAAGGGAGCTGCTCCGAGCTGAGGAGAGGAGCTGGGCTCGACCTCGGAAAGCCAAACCCACCTGAAGGCTCCTGTGACGCAACAGGGAGGCTGGCGCTGCCCAGATCCGCCTCGGTCTGGGAGGCCTCGTTTGACAGCACCGTCACGGTCACTTCGTAGCTCTGCGCAGCCACATCGGCGTAGTCGGGGACCGTCACCGTGCCAAAGTAATCCGCGGCCTTAGTGGCGACGGTCTCCGAGACGGCCAGTTCCTGATTGGCAGCTTCAGCAACGGCTCCCAGCTCACCACCGACGGCCACTTTCTTAATGGCTGCTTCGGCGATGGTTTCCTCCTCACTTGCGGCAGCCTCTTCCTGATTGCCCGCTTCGGCGATGGTTCCCTCCTCACCTACGGCAGCCTCTTCCTGATTGGCCGCTTCGGCGATGGTTCCCTCCTCACCTACGGCAGCCTCTTCC